CGGCAGCATTGGCTGTGTGGCCATGTGGTTCACCACACCCTCTACATATGCGCGTGGCACACGTGGAGGGTGAAGAACAGGCGGTGGTGGTGGTGGTGGTGGTGGCGGCGTTCGCGTCTGCAACCCATCTGCCTCCTGTATCTTGGGCAGGATGTCAGTGTATAGTGCGTTGAATGCACCCTCGGTTATGCCCCGTGTAACTTCTAAACACCCCGGTGACTCGGCTGAAAAAAGCACTTCCACCGCTGAGCCACGCAAGTGAACAGCAAGTTGTTGAATGAAGGACAGTAGTTCAGATGAACTCACACTGGAGCTCAGCCCCGTGCAAAAAACAGTTATACGCTTGAAATCCACCTGATATTCCACGCTCGATACATTCAAATTGAAACCTCGCTCACGAATAAGGCGCTGACAGACGTTAAAAGCTTCTGTGTCACGGCGGCGAGCGTAATATAATCGCTTTTTACCCTTGTTCATTCCTCTTCGCATAACCCGGGGAAGACGTAGTAATGTTTCCTTGTTGGTGATGTGATCTACTGCCTCGAGTGGTCGCGATGGGTCCTCTGGATACAACACCTCCCTCTGCAGTTTGGCAAGATTACTTGGAATTAAAGTCTCATCGTTCATTACTTCAGTCAAGTCACACACAACTCTTCCAGTATTTTCGCCTGTGTGACTTTCCACCGAAACCAGATCTCCCAGGTTAAATGTACCCCATTCGCTTTGAGGTACATAAAAGATACCATACAGATGCTTGAAATTCACAATGACATGCGTCATGATTGGCCCCTTCGCTGTTGACTCCCTACCCTCTCTCTCAGCATGCGTTACAGAATCACCTCCCTCACTATCGCCATTTACCCGTGCGGGGTCCTTGTGGCTGGGCAGACTGAAGGAATGCTGGTGCCCCAGAGGAGCGGTCTCAAATACGGACTCAGCATTCGGGTCCGTCATGCCAATTGGAGTGATATACCCTCGGTGGCTGCCCGGAGCCTCGGTAGTCTTATCCACGCTCTCATCAAGCGCTTCCACTTCCTCCTTGTCCCAGGCCGCGAGCGAACGCATATGCTTTCGTGGCCTCTGTTCCAATGAATCATGCGTGCCAACGAAACTGTCTTTAGAGACGCGTCCAAGACGCAGATATTCCTTTGCAGGATCTGCAGCCAACGCCAGATCGGCACTCACCTCCTTCCATGCCATGGAATCCCACGAAAACTGTTCGCGGCTGCTCATTCGCGAGTGTGTTGCAGAGCGCATGCTCCCATTGTGAAGTGAAAAGCTGCTCTGAGAGAGGGAGGGGTGGTGTCGATACCGGGGATACACGTTTAGCGTACTCACAAATGGCGCAGCATCCCCCTGCCCCTCCTCCTCCTCCTCCTTGTTTAGTTCCCGCTGTGAGGGTGAGCGTGGCGCTGGTACCGTTGGCGGCAGCGAGTCCTTATCAGCTGTGCGGAAGATATGACCGGGAACGCGCCGCAGCGTATTTTCACCTGCTGTACTTACACTCACAAACCCCCTATTTCCATTGCCACTGGTAGAAGATCCTGGTACATTATTCGGACGCCCCGCTGGCGTCTCAGCCGATGTTTTCTCTGCTGCCCCCTCCATTTCACTGTTGGATTTGTAGTTGTTGTGGTATTTGAGGTATTGACGTGCTGGTCGGCCCAGACCACACGATGCAGCGTTACTCACTCTCTCGGTGCTGATACACAAATTACACTTCCACAAACGCAACAGGTACTCGGCGGAACGGCCAGTAAAAAAAGAAAGAAACCCGCAACAACCTCCAACACTACCTGAAAGGAAGTACGATCTCTCCCCCACTGACACACACACACACACACAAACCAAGTCAAGCAGAGGAAAAGATATATATATATATATACCTTTTGTTCTCACTTATGTATAGAAGAGTCTGTATCCCTCCAGTGGGTCACACTGAAACAGGTGCGACTACTAAAACTACTGACTTTTGTTGGCTGTGTTTTTTTCTCGCTGTTTCTCCTTCGTCTTTGTTTCTCTGATCTCACCCTTTCCCTCTATCCTTTCGGCCGCGTTTCCCGGCCTTTGTGAGGGACTTCTTTTCCCGCCTTCTCTTTTCCTCCGAAAGTAATGTTACCCTCACCTCTTCTCTCAACCGCAAACTCTTTAGTTTTGCTGTTTGTCGTCTGCCTTCTACCCGCTGCTGGTCTTTAATTCCAGTTCAGAACGGGGGCGTTCTCTCGCCTTCTTACCCCTCTTCCTCTCCCCTGTGTGTGTGCGTGTTTTTTTTTTTGTTTTCTCCTGTCTCCACAACCACAATCACCCTCCCTTTTGAATTTTCTTTTCTTCCTTGCTCGTCAAAGAAAAACGGCAATAGCAAAGTCAGGCAAGAGGACGCAAGAAGCAACAACCAAAAGGAGCGATTAGGCAAATAAAAGAAAACAAAGTATCAACCAAGAACCAAAAAAAAAAAAGAAGGCTCGCTTCGAGAGAAAAAGTTCTGACAAGTAAACGTGCAGACACAGATGCCCTATAAATCCCTGGCAAAGCGCACAGACGCACTAATTTATTGGGGGCTATCCGCCAAGGTAATGGTTTCCCGTATCCTTTACTGTTTTTTTTTTCGCTTGTCTTCTCTACGTTGCTGTGCTAGTGTGGGCAGCAGCAATGGCAGTAGAAATAACAAGGAGAGGCAGAGAGAAGGAGAAAAATAAACAAGCAACAGGTTGAGTGTATGGGGGAATGAGGAACAATCGCAAGATCCAGAAGTAACATGGCACAACACGCACCCGTCTCGCGGCAGCAGGGCATCAGACGCCAAATCGCTCATCAAAGCAATTGAACACGACACCAGCTTCAGCAGCATGGCTGTGAGGACAAAAGGGTGCATACACACACACACACACACGAACAGACACAACAAAACAGAAGAGTCCGAAAAGAAACCAAATATAAAAATAAAATAAAAGGACAACTCCAGAGAGGTGGTTCACCCGGTACCATTACTTTCGATCTGTCAACCTCCCGCATCGCATCTCCCTGCCGCCGTCACAACAACTCACCCTTTGCCACGGCGTCCGCCATTCTTGAGTGGCGCTCCCACTTTGCTCGCCGCCGTGCGTCGGCCCTGTGCAGTTCCTCGCGCCACGCAAAGCGGCAGTCACGTTGTTGCTGCCAGACGCGCGGCGTTGGGAAGTGGCGATGCGACAGCAATGCCTCGTGCAGCGTGACGCGGAGCAAGCGGCATGTGGCCTCCACAGCGGAGTGCTGCACGTCCGCAGTATCGCGGATCGCGGCGGTTGTTGTTTGCTCCGCCTTTCGCCACAGCAGCCGCAGCGCAGCACAACACGATGGGAGAGAAACTCCAGCCACATCTGCTTGGGGAGAGCCTTCTGCAGTGCTGGTTGGGGTGTCACTTGCGTCCCCGCAGCCGAGCCGCACAACAGTTGCCAACACGGCCAACGCCGTGGCATCCAACATGCCCTGGTGTTCCTGTTCTTCCATGCGCTCCCGCACTGCGGCAGCTCTGCATTCGATAGCAGCAGACAATCTCTGCACTCGCTCATCCACTGCGCGCGTGCGCAGCGACAACCGCGCGAGTGCCGCACTTACAGAATGCTGTGAGCGCGCCAGTGTGTGCAGCACGGCACCGAGTGCATCCCGCACCAATGTATCTTGGGAAAGATATCTACAGTCGTCGTCGTCGTCGTCGTCTGGGGACGGCGACAACGCATCAGCTGGCACGGCAGCGACAGGGCACTTCTCCAGAAAATGAATTTTGGTATTCTCTAGCGTCTCCACAATAGCCGTTAGTAACTGCAGCACGCGTTGTTGATTTTCCCGTTGCCGCTCACACCGCAGTAGCCCACATTCCACACGGTGCAGTGCTTCATGCAACGTCACTCTCTCTTTCATGTCAAGTGATGCTGAAGAAGAAAACCACTGTTGAGGGGCCCGCTGTTGTCTTCTTTCATAACGAAGGAGCGAAGGAGTGGACGCGTGGATATCCCAATGAGGAGTTTACAACGCACAAGCGTCACTCTCCCAGACACACACACACACACACACACATAAACACTGTAGTAATGAGGCACACGTTCCAAGACCGGAGCCACTCCTTCCCCACATCTCTCATGTAAACTCATCAGCAATGCAATGGCATCCGTTTGAAGTTCACATACATGGAGGCGCTGTTGAAAAAGTGCACAAATGCCGCCGCCAAAACAAAAACGTGCCAAATTTGGTGGCTGGAAAGATATAAATCGAAGCAACCTGGAAAAAAAAACTCAGGTATCTTAAATGCATACACAACAACTCCCACACCATACAGTGTCATCATCAACATCAGCCCCTGCACAAATGATGACGCGGTGTTACCAGGGAGCAGCACGTACATATGAATAATAGGGAAAAGCCCACTCCCTACCATCAAGACGTAGAAAAGAACTTTGGACTTGGCGTATTGCTGCTGCGTCCATTGTCTAAAGAAGGGCCCTAGAAGGCCGATGACGCCAAAGAAGGATATCATAATAAGATAAATCCAACGCCACAACGGTTCGCACCCGAAACAAAAATAGCAAAAGGGGAGAAAAGAGCCGACAACAAGGAATGTGATGCCAAAGTAGTCCAATGCATGCGCCCAGCCGTACAGAGTCATATTTCGGTGAGGTATTAGTGTGTGAAACAGTGTGCTGCACAACATGCACATCAAACAGCCGAAGGAATATGCACCGAAGATGAAGAGCGTCAACCACTGTGAATTAGCAGCAGCAGCCGGATCAGGTTCTGCAGCAGGTTCGTACCCGTGTACTGAGGGAATCAAAACAACCGCAAAGAAAATAAAGATTGCGAGAATGAACGCTGCAGCTCCAACGAGGTGAGTCCATATGTTAAAAGTTTCGTTGTGGAGAGCCAGTATACTGCGAAAACATTTGCTCGTCGTGTAGCCCATGCGATACCCTGAGAAAATGTAAGAATTTTCGCGTAGGTGTTCTGGAACCTGATCAATCATGTACAAGGGAAGATCGGGGTTGTCGTTATACGGTATCGCCTTTGCATCATTCATAGGTCCTCCTCCCTTGTGTGGTTGATGAAGGTTTTTCTGCTTCGCTTTTTCGTGCTCGTGTCCTTTCATCGGCGTGACGGGATTGTGGGCTTTTTCGATTGTCCAAAAAAATCTTTTGATTACGCTGGGTGTATTAATAAAGGTAGTTGTACTGTCTTTTTTCTTCTTGTTGGAGGGGGGAGTGCGGAACGCACGACCAACGAAGCAAGTAGTATTGTGAGTTGTGTTAATTTATTCTATTCACTTACTTTATATGGAGAAGGATAAGACAAATGCATACGGGGTAACAAAAAAAAAAAAGCAGCTCAGGAGAGACGTGTGAGATCGATGTAACCAGAAACAAGTGACAGGAGAAACAGAGTCCCAATGTCACGCCATTGTATCAACATGCTCCACGGCTCACTGCCCACTGCTGGTAAATCGCCGTGCATGTGAAGAAATGCACGCACGCTGCTGCGAGCACAAACACATGCCATATCTGGTGACTACTAAAAAGCAAGTCAAACTCCCCTGGGTACCAGCACTCAGGTATGCGTAAGCAGTAAATCATTGTCCCCATGCCGTAGAGAATAAACATGAGTGCAACACCTCCACACGTCTGGAGTGTTTCGGCATTCATTGGATTAAGTAAGATGTGGTGGAAAAACGGCACAACTCCGCTTAGGGCCATAGCAGTATAGATGCATATTCGCACCCAACGAACTTTCCCGTCGTGCAGGCACGGCAGCGAGGTCGCCACGAGGCTCAATACACCACAAATGCATATGGCAGTCATATAAATTGCGCGAAAGAAAGGTTCACAGTAAAAACCAATGTACAGTGGAGGGAGAAAACTCACAACAATCAACACGCTGATACCGTAGTAGTCCAGCTGCTGTGCCACTAATGACAGTAGCTGGTTTCTATGCCCCAGAAACAGATGATAGGTAGTGCTACACGCCATGCACATGAGACAGCCAAAGCAAAAAATGCCGTAAACAAAGGTGTGGGCAAGGTACTCGTGTGTGAGGAGGACTGTCGTAAACAATACGAGGGAAAGTAGGACGAACACTAGGAAACCAATGCCATGCGTCCATATATTAACAGTCTCGTTATGAAGCGCAAAGAAGCTGCGAATGCACATACCGGTTGTGTACTGTGCTCTATAGCCCGTTAATATATACGGGTTTTCCTTGAGGCAGTCTGGGACACAGAATTCGTCCTTCTTGTACAACGGCAATCCCTTGGCTTTGTGCATTTCACCGTTTTCAACCGGTGTCTTTTCTTCGGTTTGCTTCACTCCAGGGGCAATAGAGTCAGGGCATCCTTCTCCTTTTCTTGTTCTCATCATTACGTCAATTCGAGAGTCATACAGTCTTCCCAACCTGTGGGAAAAAATTGAGGGCTGGAAAGAGAGAGAGAGAGAGAGAGAGTGATAGAATAAACGCATTTACGCTGAGGCGAGGAAGGTTAGAAGACCAAAAATGAAAAAAAAAAAAAAACGGAAGAGGTACTAGAAAGAAATGGGAATAGATGCACCGGCCCATTGCCTTCAGACGCTTATTCCTCTCACAGCAGCAGAGGACACGAGAAAAAAAAAACACGGTTAAACACAGGAGTCACGATGTCACGGACGCCGGCAGCGCCTCCCACACAGAGCGCACTTTTTCCAGACCCTCCCCTGCTGGCAACATTGCTGCAGCCACATCATTCTGCAACACCAAAAGTCGCGTTGGGCACGACAGGGTGACCAGCTCCTCCTCATCACGTGGAGATGCGCCCCGTTGGCGCTTCTGTGCACTACGCCTAGGAATATGCCGCGCTCCGTGGACATACATTGACAATTCGGGCGAAATAACACAGTCGCCACGGAAAAAGCGACTCTGTTCTGCTTTGGTGCGCACTGCAATGCCCTTTGCCTGCGTCGAATCGGGTAAAATAAACACAAAAGAAAGGGGTCTCGTCGGTTCAGTGTCCTCCAGGTGCTGCAGTGCACGCGCCAATCCGGCAGCGATCACGTCGTGGTCAAATGGCGGGTTCGCCTCGAGAGACAGCAGCCCCTTTTCCTTTGTCGCATCTTCGGCAGGTACAGGCAGCGCACCTGTGCCAAGGAAGTTACCGCAGCAGCCAAAGAAAGAGTCCGTATCTGGGAACGCAGAGAAGTACTGCGGGAGCGTGCAGTTCAAAGGGCTTGCAAAACATTCCATTGACACATGAAACGTCGAAACAAGCGCGTCAAACACACTCGATGGAATACCAGCGTGCCAACCAGACTCTAACTGGTAATCGCCACCACTCAGGCCAGCGTACCGCAGCAGCAACAATGCCAACGCCATACGAAAATGTTCCTCGCCACGGCACGACGCCAAACGACGCAACTGAGTCACATGCTCCGCGCCTATCTCCAATGTAATCAGCACATCACGTTTGTCACCCTGTTTGGTCGTTTCATGTGAGCATGTGGCAGAGAACCACGCATCTTCACTGTCATCACGGACGTGGAGCTCCAGCAGCACAATACCGTCATCTTCACGAGGTGTTAGTGTGATGCTGTGGAACACATTAGCAACACTCTTTTCTTGCCTCAGACGCCCCTTGAGCTCCGCCAGCAACTTTCGCTCCTCATAGAAAAGGATTGTCACACGTTCCACAAGGGACCACGCCTTTCGACGCTTCTGGGCGAACGAAGTTTGCAGCTTTGTCGAGGAACTGCACAACTTCTCAGTGAACCACCTCAGTGCGCTCCTCGAGGCCTGATGCGGCTGGATGCATTCGAGCGCCGGCAGTAATTCATCACGGTAGAACGGCGCCTCCTCCAGCAACTGCAGATTCTCCATGGGTACCTTCCGCTCCTCCCCACTTCCTTCTTCGCGCAGAACCCCCAGCACACAGCCTGGTGAAAGCGCGATACCCTCGAGTGTGTAGGCGACCGACTTTGCCGCGCCGGACATTTCGCACACCCGCGCCGCGCGGTGCACGTCGAGGATGGGGTGCACCCATGTGCGTCCCTGCCCCGCTGTGGCGGCCGCCTGCAATCCCTCGAAAATGACCCCCGTCATAAGGCCTTTGCTGGACTGCCGATCGCACGGAAGATCCTGCGAGGCGAGCGCCGCCAGCTGTCGCGCGAGACGGCACGCGCTGCTGTAGCGTAGCACCTCCACCAGAATGCGCTCCGCATGCAGCTCCGCGGGACATGTGCACGACGCCGCGCAGCTCATTCTGTGTCACTCACTGGAAGCAACAACATGCAACAAGAGGAGATGATGTGAAGTAAAGCAACAAGACGCATTCCAAAGGGGGATAACAAAAAAAAAAATCACACGCAAGCATCAATGAAGGAGAGAAAGAGAGAATATGTGTTTGTGTGGTTGTGGACCCTCTAGGGTCTCGTCACAGAGTTGACAGGGTCCTCTCAAATTCAAGTAACAGCTCTTGCATAAGCACCTCGTCTTCCTCCCCCTCCTCCTCCTCGCCTTCTCCACCTGCATATCCCAGCTGGCTCCGCTGTCGCTGTCCAAGCATCACCTTGGCCCGCGCAAGGCACGCTTCTCTGCACTTGCTTACACGTGCACCTACACCAGGCTGCAAGGTGCCGGACTGCTTCAAATCGGACAAGTAGTGCCGCACAACCGCACGCAGATGCAGGTCCACCTTATGGAGCCAACCATCGTTGGATGGTGTCACCAAGCTGCACTGCTGTTGTTGTTCCTCCTTCTCTCGCCTTTTCACTTCAGACTGAATCAGGGCAGCGGCTTGCTTTTCCAGTTCACGCGCAATGTCATGGGAAAGCAATTGTTGAAGCAACATCTTGGCGAAAATTTCCGGGGGATAATGGCTACTCGTGTCTGCGTCCCGCAAACAAAGTAAGGGCCACGGGGCTGTGGCTTGACGGGGAAACATCACCCAAAAGTCGTTCCCCTCCATGGACTCTGTGGGAATGGAAGCGCCCCCATCAAAAGAGTCATTCATGCTCTTGATTACAAATGGGGGAATGTAGTAGGGGGTTCCTGTGCGACGTTCATTACGTTCCAGACACAGTTCCAATGGCGTGTTGAGCCGCACCTCAACCATACCAACAACCGCAAGCTCCTTGTCCTGAAGAACGTTACTCTTATCATTCTCTTCAAAAAAACACTGCTGCTGCTGCCGCCGCAACTGCCTTAGACTCAAGTCTCTGCATATCTTCCAGTAAACAGCCCTCATGCTCCTGTACGGCAACGTATCAACAAGAAAAACCAAACGCGTTCCCACCCCCTCATCATTGCTCAGCAAGCATTGTTGCAGCCGCTGCGATGTGGCTTCACGCACCGCAGCGTACGCCTTGCGCCAGACATCAGGACTAAAGGCAACGCGGTTTGCCTCCACGTTGCCGCCCACCTCATCGTGGTGCATGAACGCATCTAGCTCCAGCACCGCTTCAACCACGTGCCGCTGTTGTGTACCTGCGCCGTCACCGCCATCCGACCGCAATGAAAGACCTTGCACCGTACGGCTCAGTGTCGTCTTCCCGGACCCCGGCAGTCCAGAAAGGAGAACGAGACACACTTTCATGGCAATGAGTGCCTCGCGCCCTGCGCCTGCCACTAAGCCCAGCAGAAAGCCTTTTAATCGAGTTGCTCTCTCCTCAGGAATTCTCCGCTAGTCACCAAAAGAAGAGAGGACGGAACGTTGCAGTACTTTCACACATTCAGCACAGTACAGACATCTGACTGTGCGTTTGTGTCTTCGGGGGAACACATCTCTCGCACTCTCTCCCACTCCCTTCTTTCACTCATTTTCTTGCCTCCCTCACCCCTTAATAGTACAAAACGACGCCACGCCGCAGAGTCGCTATGACCCTGTTCAAGCAAATCCACTGTGCCTTCTTATCCCCTGAGACCGCCACATTCTCTTCCTGTAACGGCTCGGTGTCCACCATCGCCAGCTGCTCCGTGGCAAGCAAAATGAGGTACGCCCGCAGATCCACATCCTTAATGATATCAGCACAGGAAAACATATCACCAATTCGCTTAGCGTCTAGAATGATATTATTCTCAACTTCCTGTTGTTGGATCGCCTGGTGCCCCGAGAGGTGCCACGTCCCACGGTTCCCACACGCTCGCACGTTATGCAGTGTTTGTGTAAGCGCAGCCTGTAGCACACGTGTCTGGAGAGGAGTGCACTGGCCTGGGAGTATTGCAGGGAGATGTGAGAGAGTACGCTGCGCGTGAAACCACACACACGGTGTCAAGAAAGCGCTATTCCGCTCCAAGATGTCACACGCTGTAGAGATGATGAGTTTGTTGCGCCGAAGATTGGCGCTGAAAGACACCTTGTCAGTGAAGGCAGAAACCATAATCTGTTGAAGCAGTGGCAGCATATTATCCAGTATTTCACGACTCAACTCATCATCAACGCTGCACGCTGCTGCATCAACCACTCCTTCCGATATTGGCGGTGTTGCACCCCCCGGTGACAACGTTCCAGCCGCCAGCTTCTCAGAAATCCAGTGCTTCTTCGCAAAGCGCAGCAATGGCGCCACGTAGCGATCAACAGGGGTTCGCGGAATGGGCGAAAGAGTCGAACGCAACGCTAGCGACCACAGCGTGTGTGCGCACCGCCGTAGTGTTGCCCGTTCCCGCCCTTTGTACTGCGCCCCGGCAAATACCTCCGCCGTACGTGGAAGTTCAACCTTCTCCGAGGCGACCAGGGCAGCCACAACAAGCACCTGCCTCGCCAGTCGTCTCGCCCCCTTTGAAACAGAGAAAGTGCGCGACAGCTCACGGTACGCGGCGGCGCCCCGCTCAACCATTAGCGTCCGCTGCTCCCAGTTCATGCCTCTAAGCGGAGCGATATCCGTGACATGCCGCAGCGCCGCTGACGCGGCGGCAAGCACCTCTTCGTCCACCACGTGGAAGCGAATGGCGCGCAGCACCACGTCGTAGCAGTGCTGCGCCGTGTGGGGAGGAATATCCTGCGCCATATCTGGCACCATCCGCAACGCAGCGAGAATGAGCTCACGCACCGCTGTCGTGTACTGCGGGTCAGAGGCAAGGTCGAGCAGCTCCATCATCTGCAGCAATAACGAAACGACATCCGGTTCTGCATGCGATGGCTGACCGTGCAAAAACTCGATCACAATTTTCTTAAACAAATCTCGCGACCTGCAATCATCTTCCTCCAGCGAGTCCTTTGCTTGAATGTCACGCAGCGCCGCTGTGAAGGAGATCAACGCGGAAACCATGGTCACAACGTGGTTGCGAGTACCCGAGGGCAATGGCAAGAGACGTAGTGTGCACTCAGCTAGCATTGTCGTCGCAGCGGTCAGCTCGCGCTCGTTGACTAGAGAAGTCTTGCGTGCGTACCGCAAAAAATCCGACACTTCACGGATATAGTCATAGTCCAACTCATTGGGCGACGCGAGCACATCCATTATTCGAGTGAGTGTTTTCATTGCCTCCTCTGGTGTCTCCAATGACGGAAGTACACGTGTGAACGACAGACGCGCCTTCACGCCGCTAAAAGATGACAATGCATCCAGTGCGTGAAGGACACGTTCGCCCCCTGCACAAAGGCGCTCGCGTGTAGAACCCTCAGCACCACCTTGAATGCATGCGGCAATATCGCCAAGAAGCATAAACAGAAATTTTTCCTTCATCATAGGTAGGGATTGAGGATCCGTCACGATGTCAATCCACAACTCCATGGCATCGCGCTTCTGCACTCCTCTCATTGTGTACAAAAAACCCGCGAGGATGGACGTCAGCAACACCCCACTGCCAACGTCCATAATCCCCTGGGGCTGTTGTTGTTGCGCCTTCTGCACCCACAGGCTTTTCCCAAGTCTGTGTACGCGAGCATCACAGCAGCAGATAAGGTGCGCCAAAAGCCCCCACTCATCGGGCTGCAGCGGGGCGTCACTGCAAGAAAAGACGGGAAGGGACTCAACGCACCGCACCAAAGAATCCACAACATTCGCAGGAAGAATGTCCATCGCGGCGCCAGCTGGCATATTGCGGTCTTTTCCCAACCGACTCACGCGTGCCAGTGTCACGTGCCGTACGGTGGATGCGAAGAAGAGCAACTCTGGCTTCTCAAAGGTCATACACTTCCTCTTGTGCATTGCCTTTTGCGTTAACATGGCGCTGGAACTGCATCCACGTATCATATCTCCTGTAGCCGGCATACGGGCCACAACTCGACACAATAGTTCATCCGCCAGCGCGTCATCACGCTCCCATGCAGCGACGAAAGAGGGTAGCGCCTTGTCACGTTGCATTCGCGAAATCCTCCTCACCATCGTCAACAGTACGGAAGTGGAAAGCTCATTGCTGACACTCACGGCCCGAATAACCTGTCGGAGTCCCTCCTCCACTTCCATGTCGTTGTGAACACGCTCAACGAGGAATGCGGTTACCGTCTTTTCGCCAATTTTAGAGTGGCGTGCAAACAACATCGAGGCATAGGGGCAGTGTAAAACGATCTTCATCATATTTAGCGTGTCCGTGCGGCTACGTTGATCCGCTGGCATGCTTGAGATGAATTGCAGGACAGCATGCGCGTGCGACTGAGTGAAGCTTGGATGAGGGGCCTGAATGACACGAGAAAGCACCTGCAGAAGCTTTGGCACAGAAACCATTTCTCTGTGATGCTCAATGCCAAGCAGCGTTCCTCCAATAATCTGTGATTATCCTTTTTCGTTTGAGGAGCAAGATGAAAGACACAAGTCATCTATCAGATCACAAGCCACATCCGGAGCCCAACGGGTGTCCTGTAAGAAGCAGAAGCGCATTATTTTTTTTTGTCGTTTGCCATTCATTTGCTTGCATCTTTGTTGTCATTATTGCTTACTGCTCTTTGGGAGGACGCTACACCACCGGAGTGCCGGTCTTCCCCCCCCTCAAACCCCACCCACACACACAACTCCAGAGCACACGGCATTGCCTGTGCCCGCCATTCCGCAGCCTGTGCACATCATGAAAGTAAACTAATGCTCAAGACATGTTTCCTCTGGAGAGTTAGAGCAAGAGTCAACACCAATATTGTCATGGGCTACATTCGCCCTACATGTTATTCCTTTTTTTTTTCATCCGCTGTCTTTTTTCTTCCTTTTTTTTTCTTTGCTGTAACCTTATTGATCTTCTTGTCATTTGCGTTTTGCTGCAATGATGCTAATTTGTTCTTCACTACACAATCTTCTTCTTCACGAAGTAGCGCTCAAGATGCTTCTCTGCCCAAACGTTCAGCCCAACGGCGACAACCACATTGAGTGCGAGCATCCCCACGACACGGTAGTACGTTGATCGCATCGTCTCATCTAGCATGTGAAGACGGTTCTCGCTCATCCGCACCTCGTCGAGGGTCACCTCCACCGAGACATCTAGCATGTGGAGCCTATCGCGGTAGTCCTCCACTTCCACAGGCTTGTCGACAACCTCTGCCCCCTCAACCGTCGTGGTCGGTGCTATAAGATCCTTCTCACCACTGAAGCGCATTTCCATCTTCAATGGTGGGTGGCTCAGTGGGGTGCGCATGCAAAGACGGTACGTCCCAGTTTCTTCCACTTTAAAGAAGAATGAAGAGGGTGTCCCGTACGGGTCAATACGCCCCGTTGGAGTCGTCAACGCCCCGCTTGGGGAGTAGAGGCGAGTGCGGATGTTGACGGCGCGGGGATTGAGTGTGCGGTGGCGCACATCCACAAGCGGCGGGTCCTCCTCGGGGTCGCGGTAGCCCTCGTAGTTGAGGCAGAGCTCCTTCCCAGGAAGCAGCTTAATGTACACCTCCGCCGCCGCCTGCTGCAGCGACGCCGCGAGGAGCAGAAGCAGCAGCAGCGATAAGGGAGAAGCGAGGCTGGGGGCCCACGGCATCTGAATATGGAACCCCGAAAAAGATCGGGAATGGGTAACACTCAAACGTAGAGGAAGACGTGTGACCTTCCCTTTTCAAGGTTTTCGTCTCTACGGTGGTACAATAAATGGAGAGATGCAAAAGAGAAGAAAATAATCAGGAAGACGCAATAAGACGACGAAATGAGGAACATATGTGAAACATATCCTCAATGGACACATCCAACTGCGAGGTATAGAAGCAGCAGAAGAGAAAGAGAGAAAGAGGAGATGGAGATGGAGATAGAAAGTCAGTTAAGACAATCTATGCATTAGACTTTGTTGTCACCACCACCATCACCACCACTCTCGCCTTTGTTGTGGTACAGGGTTCCATCTCCACCAGATTTCTCTGCCATCCAGGTGGTCATCGCAGCACCCTCGTGAGCAGTGGAGTCGTCAAAATGGGTGCTGCTATCGGTTTACCTTGTACGCAAAAATAAAAGAAAAATTCAGAAAGAAACAGCACGGCCTAACCTCAATACTTCCTTCTTTTTTCCCCCCATCTTCCGCACTTCACAAATTCCATCAAATCACCACCATTTTGACAACGTGTTTGCCACTTGCCGCAACGTGGAGGTGCCGTGCTGCTCACGGGCATGCTGCTGCTGCACACGGGATGACAGAGTGTCAGTCTGGCTCCCACCACCACGCAGCACCAATGCTGTTTTGTAGATACTGTTGGTGAAGCTCTCTAAATAAGAGGGCTGCCGCCGCGACACATCCCCGTCGTAGTAACTACGGTTGTTGTTGTTGTTGTTGAGGTGGGTGCCGCCACTCCCACCAGCACCAGGGCCACCAAAGACATCCTGACCGACCACGTCATCGCGCACCACAATCGACTCGAAGCCAGAGTCCGAGAGCACCTGTTGCACAGCCTGGGTTTCGCACGTCAGAAATAGCCGCGCCTGTTTGTTTTCGACAAAGACAGAGTACGACAACACACCGCGTGTCGTTTGAAATATGTCTTCAATTGTAGCGAGATCGTCCACGTTTCGTGGATCCAGCGCGGGAATATCAAGAACGACAGTGTGGATTGCGTCGGAGCCGACGCCGCGCAACACGCGGGCCGCGCGCGCGCGCCGCGTCAGCGAGAAGCCGTCCTCCGCGGCGCTGCTATCCAAGTTACCATTGCTGCTACTGCTGCCCATGTTGGCAGACCGTGCCTCCTCCTTCCTAGGGTCATTGTTCTGCAGGACAGGTTCAAGACAGTTAAGAATTTGGTTTGCCAATTCGTGGAGCTCGGGGTCGTCGCATTCGGCGTCCTTGTACACTCTGTGCACCTCCTTGACAAGTGCGCGATCGCCACTGAGGAGCTCAACGTTCTCCGGGTGCTGTGCCAGCATGTGCAGCGCAGCAAGGGAATACTGGCGTGTTTCTCTATCGTTACTTCCGAGAAAGCGGACCAGTGTCGGGAGCGTGTTTCGACGCGCAATAACGGGGCGGTTGTCATAATTCTTACTCAGCATATGAAGCCGCTTCACAAGAGCGAGCTCCGTGTTGAGTGAAGTCATATCCAATGTGTGTGTGTGTGTGTGTGTGTGTGTGAAGAGGTGTTCGAATCCTTCTGCACGAGAATGCCTGGTCAACAGCACCAGAGTTACTTTCTACTCCTTCGTTATGTAGACGCGAATTTCGCTCCTACCTGTGCTCTCCTTCAGCGTGGAGGGGGCGGCGGCGGCGGGGGGCCAAAGACGAGCAAGGGGAAAAGAAAAAAGACAACGATAACTGAATGGTGCATGGCAGGCAACTCAAGTCACGCATTGGATGTCCCCATGCAAGACAAACGTGGGCCAAAGCAAAATAGAATAAAAATAAAAGATGAGAAAGGAAAGCAAGAAAAAGGCAAAAACAACGAAATAAGAGTCATTGCATTTTTTAAAAAAAGCCGCTAGTAAGTGGGATCATCTAACAACGGAATGAGAACTGACCAAGGAAAAAAAAAAAACGTCCACATTGCCGTCGCTGTCGTCGTTGCTGTTGGCGTGATCCTCATCTGAGCACAGAGTCCCAGCTGTACACACTGGCCTCCCCTTCTCTCCTACACGGCATCTAGCCGCAGGAGTGTAACTGTGGGAACAGTATTTGTGAGGGTTTCGCGTCGGAATGTTTGTCTCGTTTCTTTTCTCTCTTCCTCCTTTCTTGTTGGTTTATGTGTGTGCGTGTGTGTGCATGTATGTGAGTATAGATGTATATATATATAATCGACTAACAACTTCTTTATTCACATTAAGGCTCTTTGGATAAGGTGGCTTCCCCCGCTTTCCCACCCACCCCTACCACCGTTCACCTTACTTCGTACAAATCTACATAACAAACAAACACACACACACACACACACACATATAGACACACAACGGTGCGCGTCACACGACCTCACTGGGCTTGGTCTCGACCTTGTACTTGCCCTTAGCGTCACGCACAATCCTGGACACGAACTGCTCCGGGAGTGGACGCTCGATGATATTGCTCTCGTCCTCCTTTGAGGGGAAGTTGACGTTGACAGCGGAGCTGCACGCCGTGACAACCTCCGTGTTGTACGCCTCCTCCTTGTCCATGAGGTACAGGTTCACAGAGTTGCTTTTCTCCACCGATGCGGTCGGCACGGCACGCTGCACCTTCACGTCAATAGACTCCGACTTAAGTACCTCGAGGGAGGACACGACACTCTCCATCACCACCTGCACCTTTGTACACGACACCAACGAGACAGAGTTCACCTTACCCTTGATCTCGACAAGAGCGTACTCACAGTTGTGTATCTGCACGGCATGCCGCATGTGCACCTTATCAAGGGTCAGTTTTTTGAGCTTGTCATTCGTGCCCTTTTGGTGCTTCACCACCCAGCGCTTGTCACCCTCAAGCTGCAGCACTGGGGTCTCCACCGCTGCGGCAACCGCAGCCTTGCCCTGTTGCTGCATCCGCTTCGCTTCAACCTCGGCTTTCTTTGCTTCGAGTTGGGAGAAGTCAACGGCGCCGTGCTGGATATTCTGCTTATATGCCTTCTGGTCGTCTGTCACATGGCGCAGGCGCGACGTGATGTTGTCGCCTCCATCGCGGATCTCAGCAAAGACTGCCGACGCTGCACCGCCGACAGTGTTGGACGAATCTGCCTGTGCCTTTGGTGGCGGTGGCGGTGGTGGCGGCGGCGGTGGTGGTGGTGGTGGCATTGTCGTGCCTTCCTGCTTCTGCTTACTGGATACGGCTTCAGTTGTAGTGCTGCGGTTGCCACAACACGTGAACATGCCCCAACGCAGCAGAAAGACACAAGTACCAAAAAAAAAGGCCTTTAGAGCGCAAAGAACAAAACCGAGAAGGTTCCAAAATTTGCGGCCAGGAATAAGAGGCAAAAAAGGAAGCGGGGGGCCAGAAGAGCAAGGGTGAAGGTGATGAAAGTGACGACACGCAGTTTATTGTCTCCTGTTATTCAGTGTTACGCCTCGCGCCGACAGAGAGGAAAGGGCTCAACAAGGGATAAGCGCATAATTCCGTCCTCGGCCTTTTGGTTCTTCGTTGTGCGTGTCAGTCTCGCCTCACGCACGCACAACAACAAAAAAAAAACCAAAAGAAACCAAAAAGAAAACCGAAGCCTAACACACGCACACACACACACGCACAAACACGCCACTCCGTCGATTTTATTTCCTTTCCTGTCAAAGTTCTGCAACGAATACCCCACGTGCCCCTAAAGGTAAAAAAACAAGAGCTATAAAACCGGGGGGCGGCTGGAGACTGCATCGAGGCTTATTGTGAACTCCTATATATAGAAAAAGGACGTTGACAACAGCACCATCGGCAGCATGAACACGGGGGAACAGGAGATTCAAGAACAAAAAAAAATAGCTTCGGTTGGTTTCATTCAAGAAGCTCATTGATCAAAGCGCGCCACCGCTCAACGGTTTCCACGAACGACGGCATGGTCTCCTTGAGGGCAGATGAGGAACAGTGACGCAGCGGGATTGTGGTCGATAGCATCACAATGCCGTTCTGCAGCGACATGCCAATCCCACCGCCGCACACCTCCCGCCCCAGCAAGGAACCTTCCAGTAGGAGCTCGTACAGCTTTACACGCACCGCGGCGTCCTCGGGCAGCTGCGTAAGCAATGTCGAGTAGACGTATAACCGTTCCGTTGCATGGTCAAAGGTAACGAGGACCATATGTCGCTCGTCCGTACCAATCACACTGGTGAGATTCATGTCGAACTGCAGCGGTATTCCCAGCTCCTCGCCTAGCTCCTGTAGGTTGGCCTTGGCACTATACAGAAGATCGGCCGATGGAGAGGACTGGCGTCTTACCCCGCCACCGCCGCCGCCACTGCTGTCGCGGCCCTTTCCCGACCCCCGCATATCGGCGAGCTCCTGACGAAGCCGATGTACCTCATCGCGCAACTGGAGATTTTCCACTTCTAGAGCTGCAGCAAGACCGCTGCTTTTTTGTTCATTGACGTTGGTGTTATTGCTGCTGTTATAGGTGTTGGCAAACCCACTACGTAACTGTGAGCGAATGCCAAAATCACTTTCCGGGTCAACGTAGCTCGACACAGCAGCTGTCTGCGGACGCAACGAGGCATTTTGTGAAAGTTCCTCCCGTGACTCTGTGCTCATAGCAGAAGGCGGCGTGTTGTTGCGGTTCTCCCGCATCATCGCTGATGGGAGGTCGTTTGCCTTTCCGACCAGTCCCTCTCTCACCGCCTCTGCGTCCGTGCTGTGGGTTGGAGAGACTAGTTGCAGCACGGCGTTATTGTATAGCCCAAAATCTTTGCCCACAGCGTCATCCTGAATCGGCATGCCGTTGAAGTAGAGAAGCTGCGTGTCGGACACGCCATACGACCCGAGATACCGTCGTATCTTCCCCACGCTCAGCTTGCCAAGATCACCGCGAATCACCATCTTAAACTTTCGACCATCAGCGCCCTGAACAAAGAACTCATTTCTAGCATCCATCCCCGAGTATGTATTCTGTCGATGTGTATGTTTCTCTAATTTTTCTTCTCTTGTCTTTCTTTCTTTCTTTTTTCTTTCTTTTTTTATTGCGCTGAACGCTGTTGAATCACTGTGCTGGTACTTCTCTTCCACGTGTAACCCTCTACCTTACCAAATGACAAGCGCACCCACGCTGCGACCTGGGTAGCCCTTTCACACCTCGCACGCGGTCAGAGAATGGAACAAAGACACAACACGCCAAAGTAATGACACCGCCTGTTTCATCCGTCCCCCGCAGGCTGCAGATTGCATGGCACACACACACACATATCGACCTGGAGAGAGCTTCAGGCAAAGAAAAAGGATTGCCGCTCTTTTGCACAGGTGGTGAGGAGGAGGGGAGGGAAAAGGAAGCAAGTCAAGAAAAAAGAAATGAAGAGGGTTTCTTGCCCATTCCCACGATAACGGATGTGGCCTCACGCGTCCTGCTTGATTGCTGTTATTTTCGCTGCCACCGTTGTGTTTCAGAGGCTGCCACGCTCAGAACTGTTCCATGACCCTCTTGAAGAGCGCCACAAACTGCGGCACGTGTGGGTTGTCAGACTTGACCGTGACGCTCACAACACCGGTGCTGTACAGAAAGAGCTCGAGGAGGAAGTATGTGTCGTCGTCGCCCTCCTCCTGTGCGTAAAGGTAGCACTTAAACGCACCTCCCTGCGCACCAGAAGCGAGTGTGATAATGCCGCAGTCCTCCAGGACTTCTTCGAATGCGGCGGTGTCGGGCACTGAACGTAGCTCCAGCTGCAGAGTTGTCGCGCCACCAAAAGCGCCCCACCGGCTCTGGAACTCTTGCGGCTCTATACTGGCATCCTCAGCAAGCTCAAAGCCGCTGTGCAAGAGGCTCTGCTCCGCACCCTGCCTGTTCGCCGCTGCATATTCGCCATCACCATGAGATGCCGTTGTTGCTGCTGCTGCTGCTACTGCCGCCGTTGCATGGACTCTTTTTGAGTCCATGTCGCCACGATCTTCGCCTGCCTGGTCGTTTCCTCCTCCTTCCCCTCCTTCTTCTTCTTCCTCCTCCTCGTCGTCCTCATCGTCGTTGGTAGCTGCGGGTGGGTTCATGAAGTTGTCACTTGACTGGTGGTAAACAACTGAAAGTGTGTTAAACTCCTCGAAGAGCTTGTCCCGCAGGGCGGCATTCTGGTCCTCCACGAACTCCTTGATCTCCGCCTTTGGAGTGCAGATGACCTTGGCCGCCGCTGCAAGGTTTTGGCGGAGGAGGCGGTAATACAGCAGCGCCTGGTCATGCACATTGGCGTTGGAAAAGTCGTTGATGAGCAGTTTGAACATCACCCCGAGAACCGGCTGCATCTCAGGGGGACGTTTAAAGAAAAGTATCAGTGCGGAGGTGAGGAACTGCAGACGGAACTCTGGTGTCTCAGCAAGCAGACCGCTGTTGCACATCCCCTCGAGAATATATGGGGCATCCTCAATATACTCGCCGAGTTCCCCCAGCACCCACACCAGAGCCACTTTGCTCTCGTCGTCCGTGAAGTTCATCTCGTGGTACACCGCCACAAGCGTGTCTAGAAACGGCCGCACAACAGCGATATCTCGGTACTTGCGCAGGTAGTCCTTCATTACGACGAGACACCTGCCACGGCTATGGTCACAGTCACGCTCTAGAACTATTAAAAAGTACTGCAGCACCGACTTCGCAGTTGAGGGGAGGCGCAGCGCCACGCGCCCCATCGCCTCAATGGATGCACGCGTCACCGCCTTGTTACGCTCAAATGCGTAGGCCACAAATTCTTTGAGGATATCCTCCGCCGACGTCTCCGTCGTTAACATCGACAATATATCGATCTTCACTGCCTTTACGTACGTTGGTTCTGTGTAGTGGCAGTAAAAGGCTTTGTACGAGTCCTGGAAAACCTGCGGCTCGCGCTGAACAAGAAGCTTTATGTGACACAAGACCACGTACGCCACCTCCACATTAGAGCAGGAAGACGTCAAAGTGAGGAGCGGCAGCTTCAGCCGGCCAAAAACCTGCCGATGCACCGCAGGATAATTCTCCGTGAGGCGTAGAAACACGTTACATACACTGAGAATTAAGTCACTGTTATGACTCTGTAGACGTTCCTCAAGTAGATTCATTATGTCGAACATTTCCTCCTCGTCAGCTGGCGTGTAGCGGAGAACAAGGTTAATTACTTGCTGCTGGTGCCACTCCGGGATGCTGCTTATTTTGTTCAGCATGTGGTACAGGATCGGCTTTGTCACGTCGAACGCACCCTCCGTGGTGCCGTTCGCCTCGGCGACGCGCGACACCTCAACGAGAACGGCTAAGGCGTTGCTGGACACCAAAGAGTCGCTGTCGCGGAGCATGCCGAGCATGCGTTCGTGGAAGTGGTGCTTGTGGAACTCACCAGGTGAGATGCGGAACACCTTCAGCGCGCACAGGCACGCCGTCTTGCGCACATGCGGTGACGCGTCGGAGAAGCCCTTCTTCATGACAGGGATGAGGAAGTCGAACAGCTGCGGCAGCCGCAGAGACGCCAGCGAACGCAACGCGAGGCCACGCACCAACGGGCTCTCCTCGCTGCACTCCTTCGTCAGCGTGTTGATGCTCAACAGCGCGAGCTCTGCATTGCTCTCAGAGCGACTGATAAGGTAGAAGTAGATGAGTTTCTTGCTCACGATGTCTGTGGTGAAGCATGCCAGTATCATCTCTGTGAAAAGGCTTGACGTGTCGACTCCCATCGTCATGAGCGCAATGACTTTACGCAGCACCTCACGCTTGCGTAGGGGGTCCCTGTCAATCTGCGGATCCCGCAGATGCTGACGCAGCTCGTTGACTTCGCCACGTATCTCGGTAGGGGTTTGCGAGGATGTCGTCGCCATCGTGTTGTGGATGAAAGCAATGTGGTTGCCCGCTCACGGCGTTCACACGGCACACAGGAGTGGCTGTCGCCGGGGCACTCAGCACCCTTCTTCACCTAAAGACTACACACCGCACAACACAACACGCACGCCGAGACATTAACGTAAAAAAAAAA